ATTTCAAAACTGATTTCAATTCCTAGTTTACATACATATACATTTAAAGATTTCAGAACAGGTGCTGCCAGCACTGTGCAGTCAAAAACTTTTTGGTTGGTGGCATTCACGGTCATTTTTTTTTTATATATATATACCTATAAATTGATATTAAAATACTGGCATAATAATAATAACGCAATTATATATTGGGGTTGAAATTCGGAATATGCTCTTTTATAATAAATTGAGTATAAATAATTTTTATTTTGTGTGGAAGTAAAACAAAAATTACTGCAATGACATTAGTTCCATACGATATGCTCCCGATATATTATCTACATAACGTATTGTTTAAATTTCTATGAACTGTTTGATACAACTTTTAAAAGTTCCTTAAAAAAATAAATSTCTATTCGTAGATGCGGCTTCTCTTTGAGCAGTACTGAAAGTGCAATAATCCTTCTTCAAAATCATTGTCAAATTATAATAACTGGTAATATTGTTATCAAATTATGAAAGATGATTGGATGATACAGTCACTAATTATTAATCACTATTTTTTCGAATTTTCATCTGATTTATTACCGAGTGTCCTATATCCTATTTACAGTTGTCTTGATGGAATCGTATGTAGGTCTTACCCTTTTTGAAATAAAGGGGGAATTTCTTAACGAAAAACTTGAGTAATTTGTAAAACTAGTTTGTAGAAATAAAAAAATCAGTGATCGCAAGTGCCACCAAAAATATATTGAATCATACACCCATTTTAATATTTATTTCAAAAAAATATTTTATATACTATAAATTTCCGAAATATACCTAATTATATATAACAATATATTTTTCTGCCATGTAGGAACTTCCACAAACATCTTTTTTTGTCATGTAAAATCATACACATGTATCTCATTTTTGTATTCGTGTTGGAACTAATATACATACTAATTTTTACCGAGTAGGAAGTAGGAATTTACATATTGTATATCTTTTTTTTTCATGCAGGAACTAACATATTATATGTATTTTTTACCTGCTAAGTGCTAAGTCTTGTGTGAGCCACTTAAAAATTTTTATAGTAACTGTTACCTGTATGTAGTACCTACCTATTATAATTTGTTATTATATCTTAAATTTGCTTATATCCAGATTCCAGATTTCAATGATGGTATAGTCTTTAGAATCAACAACCCACATAAGTTATATAATTTTGTTATACATGCCCGTTTTTTGAATCTCTTGTTAATATCATTATGATTAGTGACTGTGTATCGGAAATTGCTCTACG